TCTCAACTAAACAACCTTATTTCTCCACTCTCAACCGCCTACTCTTCCTCTCCCTCTCTCTCCTTCTTTCCCCCCACTAAACTCCGTCCCACCAACTCCTATTGGTGCATCCAAATTTCAACATAAATATTCATGAGCAGGGTGAACGCTCTCCTGATAAGGAGATCACTTTGCAGAAACATGTACAGTACTATTTGACTGAAGTTACCATGTCACTCTTTGGGTTCAATTTCTTACTTCATCCAATACTTTTGACCATTCTGAAGCTCACAGATTGGTGTCATATCTTGAATTATTATAGGCTAGCTGGGCTTCATTGGCAAATTCAGTAATCAGTTATATGTTGATAACTGTGTTCTTTGTTGGTACTTGGGTCCTTTATATTATTTAGTATCATACATCTGGAACTGCTAATACCGTGTTTTCCCAAAAAATAAGACAGGGTCTTACATTAATTTTTGCTCCAAAAACACATCAGGGCTTATTTTCATGGGATGGTTTTTTTTTCCATGTATAACAATCTACAGTTATTCAAATACAGTCATGTTATTTTTTTCTGGTTGCTGCACAATGGTGGAGGGCAGGGTTTGACTTAACTTGGGCTTATTTGGGGGGTAGGGTTTATATTACGAGCATTGTGAAAAATCATACCAGGGCTTATTTTCAGGTTAAGTCTTATTTTCGGGGAAAACAGGGTATTATCTGTTATTCAACTACATTTGGCTTGGATTATTTATATACCTGAACATACATAAGCAACCAATTTCTTTTTCTTATATGGATTTATATAAATTTCAATATATTTTTGCATATACATGATGGTTTCATGACTCCTCCTTCCCCCACATGTTTATCTAACTTTGGCTTTGTCCTCAGTTTACTTTTAGCTTCTTCACCTTCTCTCTGCATACTCCAAGAAAAACATTTCCCCTGGGTACACTGCCTATCAAAGTCTATCCTTGGAAACACAGTGACTAGGAGAGAGAGAGAAACATGCCCCCTTTTTTCCTATTAATATCATCTCTTCTGCTTTACCACAGCTGTGAGGGGGTTGAAATTATTCTTGATGACTATTAATGGGTACATATCTAAGCAGTCCACTTCTTTTGAAGGCTAGACCTTGACCCCCGCCATCTGGAACAAGTATATGTAGAATTCATGGACCAATAGGACAGTTTTTAATCTTTCTGACTGCTGCATATTCTTGTTCAATCCATTCTTAAAATGCAGAACTGACTGCTACACATGATTTTGACCTACTGACTTCAAAGTAATATACAAAAGGCTGTTTTGAATCAATATACTCTTTTATCCTAAGTCATGAAACTCTAACAAAAGAATGAGGCTTCTGAATTTATTTATTTATTTAATTTGTTGAGCGCAACAGTTCACCTTCATCACAGGCTCCTAAAATGGCTGCCCATGGAGAATGTCTCTGGTGAGGTGAAGGAAATAAATTCAAAACTAGCAAAGCTTGTGGCAACTGTATCTTTTGAACTGACAAGCCTTTGAAGTATATTGAAAAGACAGAAGATGGTTAAAAAACAAGATGTGAAACTAGTGGGGGGGAATTTAATTTCTTAGAAGTTGTACAGAAGTGAAGATTTTAAGTATTTATTAAATACCATCTGAGAATTCTTTAGCTGAAAACCTGTGTTAATACAATGACAAAACAAATACTAGCTAGCTCATCAGCCTAGGATATGAAGCTAAAAATATCTGCAATGAGCTCTTCCACAAATTCCAAACTTAGCAAATTCCTTCAAATTGCTTGCTTTTTAAACATTACTTTGTACAGTATATGCAATGAGATTTCCTATTGAATACAGTAAGATATATTGAAGATTTTTAAACTTTAATTTTAAAGAATCTTGTTTCAGTTTTAAATATTTTATTCCAAAAGTTCTCTATTGTAATTCAGTCTCAAGACAGAAGAAATCCATAAAATTTTAACTTTGCTTAAGAGGGAACTGCTCACCTGTTTGCAAAACAAATAGAAAGGCCTGAAAAATCCAACTTCCGTTGCTCTAAGTAACCTCCAAGAATGGCACTACTAACAAGTCTATAAAATATAACAATCATTCCCACCAATAACTAAAATGTCTCACCTTCAGGGGAGTTATTCAGGGAATTATAATTCTAATTAGCACATTATATTAGCATTCCTATTAACAATGGCAAGGGACATGGTTCACACAACTGTGAAGCTGTGATTAAAGTGTAAACAACCAATATGTAAAGTTTTCCCTTAGTAAATATCTGCACCAAGACAGACATGACTTAAAAGTCCATCAATGGCTAAAATCCAATTGTAAATCACAACTAGAGTAGGCCCACTGAATCACTGGAGATTAAGTGAGTCAATATTTACATACATTCCATTGATTCAATGGGTCTACTCTAGTTGTGACTCACTACTGGATTTTAGCCATTGTTATTTACCCTAGTTGTAATAAAATGCCTCAACATTAAACAGGCTTACACATATAAGTACATTGTGGGAACTGACAGTAGCTTCCAATATCTCTTGCAAAATTCAAGTAGCACTATGACGTTTAATAAAGCAAGTTCCACTAAAACCAATACATTTCATAATTGTCTTAAGATCAGAGTACCTGGGACTGGGGTGTCAACTAATGTACAAAATCCAGGGAGCTCCATATGCATATTGCTTGCAGGCTCTGGAACTGCCACTGTAAGAAACTTCCTTCTCTATTTGCCAATCATGCTGTTGTGCTTTATTCTGTTCTGGCATGTTTTATTGTGTATTTTCTGTGCTCATATAAACTGCCTTAGAAAGAACTTTAAGTGAAGAAGTGGCACATAAATAGTATTAAAATAAAAACAATACAGGCCATGGGTTGTGAGTGACCAAACAGTTTAAGGCTTAAAGTTTAAGAAAGCCAAATAACAGTGACTAAGATCCAACAGTATGTTAGAACTAGAGTAGGTGTATTGAATCAATGGAGCTTACATGGGTACTGAATCATCAAATCACTTTGGTTGTAACTTATTAGATTTCTGTCAGTATGGACAAAAGTAAGTGTCCAAGCAGGAAGAGACACAAAGTCTCAACATATGGAAACAAACCCTAATGTTACATTTGAATAATCTATCACATGTTGGCCTATTTACTTTGTGACTTTCTTCAAATCCATTAATTTAACAATGTACATGGAAACCTCCCACAGTCTGGTTTAAGAAAAAGTTCTAGTGGAGAGAAAAGTCCCTTTCCTCATACACTACCTTTTTTTCTTTACAAAACAGAATGTTATACTGTGTGGACATAAAATATATATCTGCATTTTGTGTAACAAAAAGAAAAATAGATATTGTGCCACCTTTAACAGTAATATAATTTTCAGTTTGAGTTTTCATAAATAACAACTTCGACTTTGTAATCCATGAAAACTCACACTGAAATAAAACTGTTAATCTTAAAGATATCACAGCATTTTTGTCTTTGTTCTACATGCTAAAACATGCTAACATGGCTACCCTTCTGCTATCTGCATTTTGATTCCCACTGAGGGGGGGACCCTTGCAAAGGTAGAGAAAATAATGACTGGCATGCAGAGAATTAGCATATCCTCCTCACATTGTTTCTTCATTCAATCCTCATCTTGAAAAAGACTACCTACAAAAGATTTTAGCCCTGTTAAAACTTGAAAGGTGTATGCTGTAAGGTGCAGCTGGTTGGTCATTCAACTGAGATGTCTGAATCAACCTATGTTTTTTCTAATTAGACATCTCAAGGTTGTCATAAAAGATACATGATAAAGTAACTAGAAGCATAAACCATTCTGACTTACTATAATTGTTAAAACACTAGACACCATTTTGAAGATGTAGATTGTCTTCTTCAAAATTAATATTCTTCATCAACACACATCCTGTAACAGCTTCAGATGTGCCATTAAACAACACAGAAAAAGCCAAACCTTGACTGCCTTCCTGTCCATTTGTAAAGGTTGACCAAAATGTATACCTAAATCCAGGAAAAACTTACCATCACATCAAGGTTCCCAAATGAAAACTGTAGTTCACCCAAGTTAGGAAACACTCAAAAAGCATTATAATTAAAACAAATGCTGCATTATTTACACTGAGTGAAAACTTTAAAATTCAAAAATCTGTTACCATGTGCAGGGAAATCTTAGTAAACTACATCAGGGCAAAACCAGAGGGGCAACTCAATCCTGAAAACATTTGAAAAGCACCAAAACCAGCACCCACCTACATTTATTATGGTTATGTATTTGCTTTTGTTATCATTCGCACTGGAATCCTTTTATGTGAACTGGATAGGGAGTATGCCATTTACTTTTAAAATGTAAGGTAAATCTACAACATCCTCCCTTAAAATGTTGATGGCTGAAAGATTAACCCAAAAGTTGGTTCTGTAAAAGGAAAACAATCTTTCTACAAAATATTTAAAAGTGATGAATAAGATCAAACCATAATAATACAATGCCTTAGTTCTCCAATTCGAACTTCAGAAGTACTTCACTCTGGCTGTATGGAGTCCTACACGACCCTAGGAACTACTGCTGACCAGAACAGATTCTAGGGAGATGCAAAAGGTATTACTACAGTTAGCAAAATAAAAAGGCACGTGTTCTGCGGATAAACAGCAGAGGCCCTCTCTCTTGAATTCTTTCAAGACAGACGGTGGAGTAGTATAGTAGAGCAGGATGTTTTGACAATTATAATACAACAAGACAAACTGTCCTGATTTTCCCACAGGAGACATGCCAACAAAACAAAACAAAAAAAGGCGGGGGGACCCAAATGCAACAGAAAGCCTCAAAAGGACTCCCTCGCATTTTAGAGGCACAACTAACCAAGTGGTTCATTCCGTCAAGGCGGGCAAGTCCTCCCGGGCACTGCACGCGTCTGCCAACTTGCCCAATTCCTCAGCCCTTTCCCCACACACACACACACCGCCGCGCATTGGCGGGGAAGGGGGGGGTCTGAGGGAGTCAGGGGCGCCCCCTCACCTGGGAGAGCTGCCTGGGGTTGGGGCAGCCGAAGAGCGCGGAACTGGAGCTGAAGCTGATGGCCCCTCGGCGGCTGAGGACGTGCTGCGGGACCGGCCTGTCCAAAGGCAGCACCGGCAGCTGGTAGCATACTTCCATTGAAACGGAGGCAGCAGCAGCACCGCCGCCGCCGCCGCCGCCACCTCGTCGTCGTCGTCTTCTTCTTCTGGGTCGCTCGTTCACAAAAGGCAGGCCCGGCTTCGGGGGGGGGCGAGGCGAGGCCCGGCCCACCGTCCCCACCTGCCTGGCGAGCGGGCGGAGAAAAGCCCACGGGCCACCCGGGAGCGGCTGGCGTGGAAGGGGCTCTTCACGCCTTCACCCTTTGCATTGCACCCACTCCCCCACCCCCGCTGCGGCGGAGCCGGTGGAGGGGAGGGCCCCGCGGGCGCGCAGAGGCAGTCCGTCCCACGAAAGGGCGAGGGGAGGGAAGCAACCGTCGAGAAGGAAGGGAGAAGCTGCAGCTGCAGCAACGGTGGCGGCAGAAGAGGAATAGTGGCGGCGGTGGTAGGAGCAGGAACAGCAGCAGCGAGTCCCCCCCGGTCAGCTCCGCAGCCAGGGCGGCCGCGTGCCGCCGCTCATTGGCTTGCCTCGGGAGCGGGCCCAGGTGGCTTCTTCTCTCCCGGCGGCGGCGGCGGCGGCGGGCTGATTTGGGTGAGACACCACCACTCGGCTGCGGCAGCGCCGCTATTGTCCGGCACGAGGCGCGCCCCCGCCCATAGACGGGAGGGAGGGAGGGAGGGAGGGAAGGGGCTCTTCACGCCTTCACCCTTTGCACGCAGCCCACTCCCCCACCCCCGCTGCGGCGGAGCCGGTGGAGGGGAGGGCTCCGCGGGCGCGCAGAGGCAGTCCGTCCCACGAAAGGGCGAGGGGAGGGAAGCAACCGTCGAGAAGGAAGGGAGAAGCTGCAGCTGCAGCAACGGTGGCGGCAGAAGAGGAATAGTGGCGGCGGTGGTAGGAGCAGGAACAGCAGCAGCGAGTCCCCCCCGGTCAGCTCCGCAGCCAGGGCGGCCGCGTGCCGCCGCTCATTGGCTTGCCTCGGGAGCGGGCCCAGGTGGCTTCTTCTCTCCCGGCGGCGGCGGCGGCGGCGGGCTGATTTGGGTGAGACACCACCACTCGGCTGCGGCAGCGCCGCTATTGTCCGGCACGAGGCGCGCCCCCGCCCATAGACGGGAGGGAGGGAGGGAGGGAGAGAGACTAAACCCCCACCCCACCCCCAGAAAGTGGAGAAGCTCGCGAGGCGTCGCGGATGGTGAGAGCTGGTGCTGTTTGTCGTGAAGAAGGTACTGGAGGAGGAAGAGATGATGATGCCGGAAACTGCGGCGGAGCGATGCGGTGGGGTGGTTGTGGGGGGGGAGTAGAGAGAGAGAGAGAAAGAAGAGGTGGGAAAAGCCGTGCGCGGGCAGCGACTGCGCCGCTTCCGGGCCTACCGTGAGACCGGCGCAACGGGCGCCACCCACCTACCCATCCACTCCCCCAGCAGTGAGAAACACGGTGGCCCCCCACACACACACAAAGGAGGCAGGAGAAGCGAGGGATGGGTTGTGGGCGTGTCCATGCGGGGCTGGAGAGGCGAGGGAGCCGTGCGTCGTGACATCATTCTCCCTACACCTTCTCCCCCCCCCCTTTAATAAAGAAAACTGCAATTTAAATAGGGAGGGTATGTGGCGGGAGGGGGATGTATTTACAACCAAGGTATCTCCGTGATCCACCAACCACCTCCGGGCTGGAGCTTTTCTCCTGTCTTCTTACTCAGCACGTCCAGAATCTTGAACTGTTCGTTTTACTTTTCCCACCCCCTAGGTTTTACACAACCCCAGCAACTCGAGTTGAGTTGACTTGAAAGAGAGAAAAGCTATACCTTTTTTTTAAATTTTAGCCTAAAAATAGAAGAGATGAGGTGGAGCAAGCAAAAGTGTTTGGAATGCTCTTTAACTTACTTCGTTCTTTAAACATTAATTGTAATCCAATTATTCAAAGGTATGTCTTGTGTTATGTGCCAGAACCGACATACAGATATCCTAATACAGTTTTCAAAATAAGTGAGATATTTAAGGAGTGATTTTACAGTGCTACCCACCATGGCTGAGCAGAGATTCAAAACCGGGTCTCCTGAGTCTAGTCTATTATTCTGTCTACTGCACCACACTGACTTATATTGAAGTCTTGCTTATTTGGGATTGATTGAATTCCCAAGTATATTCCTATAGGATTGTGACATCCGGCTGTTATCTTCCAGATGTCGTTATTACAATAATCTCAGCCTTCTGGATCACAGGGGAGTTAAATCTGAATAAACACATGAAGGATTACACTGCATAGCCCTTTCTCAAGATTGAGACTTCCTTTAATACTTGAGGATATTCTCTAAGGAGGATTTTGCATACCAAACTAACATAGCACAAATAAGATGCCTCTGGGATGACCTTATACTCTTGTTGGCTTGCAGGCTAGGCAAGCTTGTGCTGGGCACCCAGCCAATAAAGAGCTGCTGAGCTAAGTTCAGCATGTATTGCATGTCTTACCTGCAGTCAGCTGCATCTAAAGTCACATAATAGGACAGTTAAGCATCTTTAAGCTCCCCCCACCCCAAATTGTACAGGATCTTTGAATTCTAACTGCAAAAAAATAATAATAATAAACTTTGATAAATTAGCTTCAGAGTGTGACAGTTGTTCAGTTTCTTGTGTTCTGTCATTAGCCCTAGATTAAAATGATCAAAACACAGCTTTCTACTAGGACCGGCCATGCTGGTTGCTTTGCTGCTGCAGACAAACCATTCTTAAAATCTGCCTTAAGCAACCTTATCAACAGAACCAACAGTTAGCCGCCTAGAGTGGTCCTGACCCGACCAGATAGGTGGGATATAAAATAAATAAATAAATAAATTTTGTTTTTCTTCCCCCACAAATCCTAACAACTCCACCTTATCTTGGCTGTTCTCTTTAGGCTTCTCTTGGAGGCTGGTAGCAATAGATAACTTAAGGGGGAGAAAGTTAGCAGGTTGAGGGTGGTAGGATAAGATGCATTATTGATTATTCCTGGCTTTATTTTATTTTATTGACATTGCTTCAATAACCTATTAAACCTGTTAGGCCAAAATGTTAGGCTGAAAAAATGTGTTTTGTAAGATACAGGAAACAATGCCTTAATCTCATTGCCTTCAACTCTTGAAATTGACAGACCATCAGCTACCTTGTATTAGTGAAATGTAAAGTTTCTGGAAATAAACTATATCACCTATATGTACCTAATTACTGCTGGTTCTAAATCAGAATGTCAAAAAACATACACAAGAACACACACAAAACCCTGGAAGCTCAAAAATTTTCTTTTTAAATTGCAACACTATTGTCTGTTACCAATCAATCTCTTTTTCTGGACAAGTTTTTCAACTATTAGTAACATGATAAAGTTATACACCTCTCAAGAAGATTTGTGAAGAGCAGGGCTTGACAGAGTACCACTTTCAGTACTAGATATTATATAGATATAGGTATTAGCCTATATAAATTGAAGAGAAAGAACACACTAAATTTCTGCCATATCTTTGGTTCACTGTTACCTGAGCACATCGTCAACAAGCAGAAACTGGTGTCTATTTATATCAGATAGTTCTGGATTTACTACAGAATTGGAGGGCTTGGGCACATTGACTGAATCTTATATGATCATACATGGGAACTGAAGTCCAAATCCAGCGGAGTCCAGATTTGCCTTGTCAAGCATAGACCTATTGATGTCAGTTGGAGTTAAGTTAGTCATGGGTAACTTTTCCCATTTACTCCAATGGATCAATGCAAACTATGGCTAAGTTTGGATGCAGCACCTTGTATCTCCTTTTATGAATGTACTGTACAACAAAAGAAACTACTAGCAATTTCATGAGAAACTAGTGTGTGTGTGTGTGAGAGAGAGAGAGAGAGAGAGAGAGAGAGATGCCACCAAGTCAGAACCAGCTTACAGTGAGTGACCTTAATGGAGCTTTCAAGAAGATTACAGAACATAGTGTTGCAGAAAGCCAGAAACTACTGAATTGCCCAAATGTTACATTGAATCATCCTAAATGTTGAGTATTATGTTCTGTGCCTTGAGATAAAGAACTCTCAAAGCTTTTAACATTTGCTACATTTCCCCCTTGTCTATGAATGTTCAGTTTAGGGAATCCTAAAGATTTTAAAGCTTATCAACATGAGCCTAAGTATTATGCTACCATACATGCTATTAATTCAAATAACATAAAATAGAAAGGGTATGTACAGTAACTGTCTCTTTTTCAAGAGAGTATTACAGCAACCTTTCTTCTGCTATAAATCCAACTGCCCCTCGTTTGTTTTTGTTTGTTTGTTTTTCCTTTGTTTTGTTTCAGAAAGTAGGTAGTAAAACTATGGAAGTTTGAGATCTATTAAAAACAATCGAGCAACAGTACAGTATCTAGATGGGCAATTTTGAAATATGACAAGACACCCTCATCCTGGTAGATGAATCATTACATGTATTCCTTACTTTTCCTTGTTTGCTATTGATCATAAATAATTTTGTCAAGGTAGATTTGATTTAAATCAATTTGAATTACTACTCTGAAAAGTATGATTTAGTCATGGGATTTTTTTTTCACATGGTAACCTGCATTTATGCTTGTTATAACCTTAATACTAACTAAAGCCTGCCAAGATTTTGGATTAACAATCAGCCTAAAGAAAACACAAGTCATGGGCCAGGGTGCCTCCCTCTATTACCATCTCTAAACAAGAATTGGAGGTTGTTCATGACTTTGTGTACCTTGGCACAACAGTCTCTTGATACTCTCCCTAGATGTTGAGCTGGATAACAACAGTCTCTGATACTCTCCCTAGATGTTGAGCTGGATAAACGCATTGGCAAAAAAGCAACTATCATGTTCTCTACACTCACAAAGAGAGTATGGCTTAATAAGAAGCTGACGGCATATACCTTTACTTTCTCCAAACCTTTATTGGCATAAATACAGCTGGGATTACTAACAATAAACACAACGGGTTATAATTTGGAAGTTAATTTAAGAATCTCAAGCAGAAAAATAGCGACAGCTTCAGTGATACGGGAGGAAGAATCATTCAGAAAAATCTCAGGGGTGTTCGGCAGGGAAGATAACCAGGGTTCTAGTAGTGCCTTACGAATGGAAAAATGAACTGAGCAGAAAAACAATATATGGTCAAGTGTATCCGGAACCAAATGGCAGAACAGGCATAATCGATCCTCTTTAGGAATATTTGCAAATCGACCGGTATGGTTCGCTGAGGGAAAAATGTTAAATCGGGCTAACATAAATGCTCTTCTTAACCTGGGGTTGATAAGTGAGGAAAAATAATTTGGATGATAACCAAGTGAAGG